GATGGAGCAGATGAACCCCACATGAAGCAGAAGCCAACGAGACGGAGACCAGGACGGAAGAAGATACGTCCCATACAATTAAGAGATTTGCTGAATTTTAATTTTGTGTTTGTAAATTCTGTACATTTAATTAAGTTATTGTTAATTATCTGTTGGTTTAATGTAAGTGGCTATTGTTTGGGACGAACAATACTAAGGAAGGAGCAGTGTTACGATAGTGGAAGTCACGTGACGCTAGTAACACGTCATGAATTTCTAGAAGTATTATGACTTTTCCTGGGAACTCTAGTCTTTTCTACGCGCCCTCTATTTTACTATATAAGCCGGCAAATAAAGCAGAAATATAATTGCAGATAGGGAGATATAGAGACAGATAATCGAGTCAAGTGCGTGAATCGTTGTGAATTATAGCGTGTGTATAAGTTAAAGTAACTGCGTAAATTAAGTGTATTGCAAAGTTGTATTGAGAAAGAATAAACTAGTTCTATTTAAGAAAGGACTTGTATCGCTGAAGTTCTTCGGAAAGAATTTTTACGGGAAATTAACAAACTACCAGAGACGTAACACAATCTACTTGTAGTATTTTCAGGTAAAACAGATTTTCTAACAACAACAGATAGGCAGACCTGCAAATAACAACAAACTCTATACTTATATCTATACATATTATAAATATGTGATAAATTGTTATGTAGGTTTTTCTGGAATGATTTTTTTATTATATGTGAAACAAATTGTTTTTGTAATAAATATGGGTTCTCCCTTTTTTTGTTCATGGAAAATTTTTGTTTTCTTTTTTATTTTAACATTAACTTTTTTTAAGGCAGGCCCTTTTCAGTTTACTTATTGCACACGTTCGTATTATAACTGTTCGCGGGATAGTAGTGTTAGTGTTTGTCCGTGTGATCCTAATCTGCATGTTCTTTCAGAGTTTTTGTTTTCAAACCTCCAAACAACTTTGTAAATTACGAATGAGCCTGTACACAGTTTCTCCATTGAAACTCGGAGTTGAAGTTAATGGAATAGATTTGAAGAAAGAAATCCCATACGAAGGTTAGTAGTATAATAATAACAGTTATGGTATAGCCTATAAATTATATTTATACTTATACAGATATAGTTATACTATACTCTGTAATTCTAATATAATATTGAATTACATTTCTCAAAAAAGTCGCAGAAACTGAGAAAGTGAAACGTGCATCTAGTTTTATAAAGTGAAGTTGTTAAGCAATGAAATGTTTTTGATTTTTAAATTTAAACAGCGGTTTAAAAATGACAATGATTTTGAAAGCTTAACTGAATTTGAATTGGTAATAATATTTGTCATCAATTATCAAACGATACCCAACGGTCAACCCTTGTGTCTGTGCCGTGAGGGCTTCGCACAAGAGGCTTGTTTGAATGTGACAGAGAGTAGTTTTATATTTATATTATAATTACTGAAATCAAAATGAATGACATTAACTTAAAAAAAATGTAGAAATTTTCTCTTATGCAGAAGAACGCACTCCTCAAGTTTGGATCACGAATAAGCTGTATAAGTTATAATTTATATGCAGACATCACTGTGCAGTTTGTGTGAATGTTCAGAAATAAACCTTTTCTACATATTACTTTCCAATTCGGTCTTTTATATATATTTATACATAATGTACAAATTTATACATAATACTTCTCCACTGGGAGGATTAATGTTAAATAATATACGTAACTGTTGAATATAAAATTAGTACCAAAAATATATAATAACATGATAAATATACGAGAAGAAAAAGAAAAACTGGATCTCTTAAAGAGAGGACTTGCCTTCACCACAAATAATAAACCAAGGAAATTATTAGGAAATTATGATTAACAGAATTTTTAAGAATAGTAACAGTGCTAATGATGGATTCTTGAAACAAATAAAAAAGTAATTTTTGTACCTTGAAAATGAAGAAATCTAAAACTTGATATAATTTGTTGTCATTGAAAGTACGTTTTATAAAGTTCTTCCAGTTAAAGATAGTATTTCATTAAAAGAACAAATGCATTTAAAGAAACTTTAAATTGTGGAAGAGATTTTCATTTAAAAAAGTGATAAAGAAACTTATAAAGATATGTCCTCTAACAATATTAAAGAATATATAAAATAATTGAAATGTGTATATATTAAGAACGAAAACAATTATTTGTTGAGTATTCATAAACTAGGAATATCTTGTTTATTATTTAATTCTACCACAGGAAATAACATAGACAACAAAGGACCATTTGGGTTTTAAGCTTTCAAGGTTATTCCTGAACACTCACTCCTTCTGAGAATGCATCCTTGTGTTAGATGAAGAAATGAATTTCTTAGAAGGATCTTGAATGATTATCAAGAATATGTTTAGAGCAACAAGTGGGCTGGTTGGACCTCTGGGATAGTATTCGTGCTAAGGTTAAATAATAACAATGTTTTGGGACAACATGGGACCTATTGGCCCATCTTGGTTGTTCCATCCTCTAAACTATATTAAAATAAATAAATCATAAAGCCAGCCCATATCTTTCATATACTTATAAAGCTTTTTCTTAAACTCACTGCCTCAACAACATCCAAAATCCAACCACCCTCTTTGAAAAATAAATCTGTCTAAGCTGAAAAATGCTCCCCTGCAAAAATTTATATTTGTGTCCCCTAGTCCTACTATTCTCACTGTTAAATATGAAAAATGGTGATGTATCAACACTATCAATTCTCTTTACAATCTTAAACACCTCAATCAGATCCCCCCTAACTCTTTTTTTTTCAAAAGAAAACAGTTTGAAAGATTGCAATCTCTACTTGTATGACAAACCCTCCATCCCAGGCACTATTCTAGTAACCCTTCTCTAAGCCCTTTCCAACAATTCATTGTCTTTCCTAAGGTAAGCATGTCACTTTTGAGGTTATCCACATCCACATTATACTTATATTGAAATTATAATAAACCACATGCATTATCTTGCATTTGTTATAATTAAAACCTCTTCCTCTATCCTCTTCACAGCTAGCAACACCCAAGACCTTAATATCATCTGCAAATTTAAGTAATTTATTGAGCATTCCTTCATCTATGTCATTGATGTAAGTCAAAAAGAGCATTCATAACAACCCTCTGTTTTCTTCCATCCAGCAATTCTTCTATCCAATTTGCTAACTTATCCTCCACACCTATAGAGATAATTTTCTTTAAAAGTCTTTTATGTAGCACCTTATCAAATGTTTTCTGAAAATGCAGATACACCAAATCTACACTCTTACCCTTATTCACATAAGCTGTAATCTTTTCAAAGAATGTCAAAAGATTTGTAAGGCAAGGTTTTCCATTAGTGAAACCATTTTGACTATCCAATAAAATTCTAAGCTTTGTTAAATGACTTTGCAAAGCATCTTTTATCAGAATTTTCAAAACTTTTCACACAAGCAAATGGCTCACATACCTAAACTTAACCTCCTTCAAAGCCCTTGGGGAAATATTATCTGGCCCAGGAGCCTTCTCATTCCTTAAACTTCCCTATTTGTTTCTTAACCAGCTCAGAATTAATGCAGTCAGTTTGTGTGATCTCTTTTCCATCTATCAACTATTTAATGCACTAGTGTGCTCAAGAAGAAACAACAGGAAAAAGCAATAGCTTTACCAAGAAATAAAAAGTAATAAAAAGCTGCAATCTTTTTCAGGTATCATATTGAATTTGAATGTAGCATCTGGCAATAACAAAAACATTTTCTCTACTGCTGGAAAAAAAATGTAGATGATTCTGATTCTAAAAATAATTTTGAAAATTACTGATCTCCTCTAGTTTTTGATTATGATAGATTTATTCAAAATATTCTTATATTTCATTAAAATAACTTTCTCTATTAACTGTATTTATTCATTGAAAATTGCAATTAAGAATGTTCAAAAACAATACATAATAGCAATACCAGTTTAAAAAAACAATGAACATAAGAAGATTATATACTGAAAATACATTCAGGCTATGTTCAAAACTTTCATCATGGTATTATTTTGTGTTAAAAAATATCTGCTTCACTTATTGCATCTATTGTGTATGTTCTCAGTTTCATGCTGTAAGGACCAACAGTAACTTCTCATCATCACAGGATTCCATCATCCTTGATATTGTTGTTCCATTGTAGAAATATCTTGGTGGAAGCTCTCTACATGCTCATCATTTACTGCACCTAGATCATTTGGAAAAAACTCTAAATGGGAGTGTAAGAAGTGCATCTTTAGTGACATCCTACATCCCATTTTCTTATAGTTTTCAAGCATATCGTCAATAATCAAAGCATAGTTTTCATCTCTGTGATTCCCTAAGAAAATTTTGACAACCAGTTTGAATGATTTCCAGGCAAAGAGTACTTTCTTATTAAGTACTATTTCAAAATCATAATCCATTAGCACTTCCCAAATCTGAGGCCCAACAAAGATACTTCTATTCATTTTTACTTCACTGATTTTTGGAAACTTGTCAGATAGATATCTAAAACAAATACCATCTTTGACCATTCCTTTTACAAAATTCTTGATGAGTCCCAGTTTAATATGAAGTTGGGAAAGAAACATATTTTGAGAATTCACTAAAGGTTGATAATCTATATTTAATTTTCCTAGCATGTAATTCTCTCTCTCACTGGCCATTCCTTTTTGAAATGATTTTTGTCATATCAGCTGTCCCAGAGAAACAGAAAGCAACAATGTATGGTATACTCACCCTGTAGGCCTAGCGGGAGTGTGATAAATTTTATATCACCATATGTTCCACCTATGGTGATCATATTGATGACCTCAAGTATAATATGCATGCTTTGATAAGTTTCAAGAGAAATATATTCTTTTTTTTTTCATTATATACAGAAACTGTTTTCAGGTTTTGCATCTATGATGGCCACACCTGCAACATCCATCTTTGTTTCAATAGTTGCACCTGTTAGGTCTTTTTCTCTCCCAAAAACTTCTTCAATAGATTAGCATCATAGATCTTGGTCTTCCCATTGTAGTCCATTCTGCTGAGTACTTCCTATACTTCAAAATGTCCTATCCACTGCAGGGTGAGTTTGTTGTGATTCCTGGCCTTGTCATAGAAATGCATGTGACTGCCTTGAGTTGCATACAAGCTCTGTTGAGGGAACTGACAGGTCTTCTCCAGGTGGTTTCTGAGATGTAACATACTGGTATGTGTTTCTTACTTGTGACTCTTCTCCTATCCATAGCTCTTTCAATATTTGCATCAGACCTCACACTGTTCTTACTTGTGGGACTTCTCGGTAAGCAAATGATACTGCCTGCAAGTACCTCTCCCAGTAACATGGTCTCTCTTGGCACATCTTATTTAGCATGCTCTTTAAAACTTCATTGACTCTCACAAAGTCCATTACATCTAGAATTGTATAAGGTGGTAAAGAGCTGCCAAGTACTGAGGAGTCTGCAAATTTCCAGCATCAGTTCTGAAGTAAACTTGGTCTTTCTGTCACTCAGGATTTCTGTTACAAAACATACTCTGTAAAATACGTTCAGAGTGCTTCTGCTACTCTCTCTGTATTTTATCTTTGCCACTGCTATGGCTTCTGAATAACATGTTGCATAATCGACTACTGTCAGTACATACCAGTTGCCCTTGTCAGAAACAAGCACTAGTGGTCCAATCAAGTCCACAGCTACTTTACTGAATGGCTCTTCTATGATAGGCATCTCTCCCAATGGCACCTTGGCTTGATTCACTGGATTCCTTGGTTTGTTTATTCAAGATCATTTTTCGACCTCAAGGGGTTGTTAGATCGGGATAATACTAAGATATGGGTTCCTCTGCCACCACCCTTTCCAGAGATCCATCTCTTCATGAATCCTTTGCTTCAGGGATGGGGTGCATATCTAAACACTTGGAAATTCTAGGGTCTACGCATGGATGATGAGGCTTCCCTACAGGATGTTCTAGACCTTCTTGCTCTTCAAAACTTGATGCCTAATATCTGTGCTTTTTAAGGGGAAAATTGTCAGGCTTCACTCCAGCAATTCCATGGTGATGTCTTGCATTTCCCATAAAGGAGCACTTGATCCCGAGTTCCTTGTTTTCAAACCTTGGATCTCCTTTCTCAGGACCATCCTATAAATGTCATCCTATTAGCTTGCCATATTCCACAGGTGATGATTGTGGTAGCAGATCAGTTGTCTCGACCTCAACAGATTCTCCCAACAGAATAGATGCTGCATTGCAAGGTTTTCTGTTGGTTTGGCTATCATTTTGAAACACTGATGATTGGCAGGTTGGCCACTTTTTGGAACACCCAACTACTGGCAATTTGGTCTCCAGTATCTCTTCTGTGTAGAGGCAGCCATGATTTGACATGATACACCCAGCTATCCAGCAGCTCAAGTTTTAGGCACAAAGGTTATGCAGTCCTTCGGACAGTGTTGGAGCTTAATTTCTAAGGCTGCCATCTATGTGTCTCAGTCTTTGATTATTCCCACGATGGACATTTATCAATGAAAATGGCACACATATCAGCAATGGTGTATTGAAAGGAGGTTGAACCTACTTCGATCAGAAGTGCCAACCATAATTTGATTTTTGACCTGATTCTTTGGCTAGTGTTTTGCATCTTCCACAATTGCTTTGTATAAGGCGGCTTTATTAACTACCGTTCTATACTCGAGACAAAAATTGTTTGATTCCCCAGTTCTCTCTGGCTTCCTCAAGCTGGTATAACTGGTATATTAAGGTTACATTACATGATTTTCTTCAACACCCATTGTGATTTTAGCCTTATTTTCTTATTTATCACCTTTCCCTGAAGGTATATTTTTCATTGCTGCTGACCTACAGACATTACCAGTCAGGGTGGTTTGTGATAATTATGCACAGGATGCTTTATCATTCTACCTATGTCCTCAGACCAGTTTTTCTTCACTAATACACTGTCAGACAGGGAAGGGGATAAATCCTTATCACAGAATCATTTGATCACTGTTTCCACTTTTATGACCACTCAGATTTTGTTTGTTTATTGTGTCCAGTGATGGTCTTGAAGATTTTGTTGCCCACACTAATGCCTTTAGAGATGCTAGACAACAACTGTTTATTCATTGGGATAATTGAGTTTCCCAGGATTAGTTACTGGTTACATTGATGAGATGGGTACAAAATTGATCCATATTGCTAATTCTGGGCTCTCTTTGAAGATGAGGAGTCTTCTGCAAGTCACGTCTAATCATGCTAGAAGACATTGTGTGGGCTGGTATGTGGACCTCCCCCAATACTTTTATTTCACATTTTTGGCAGGATCTGGCAGTATCTTCATGTAAGGGTTTTCGTCTACCCCCTATAGCTATCTTAACCACTTCCACTAGATTATACAGAGGAGGGAGTATTTGCATTACTACACTTGTCTCTACTTTACCTTTCAGGGACCCTTACCTCATTTTCACAGGATCCCACTTTGTGGTGAGTGTTGCCCATGCAGGTGTGCTTTTATCAAACCAATTCTGCACTAGCAACCACTAATTCAATATACTTTATCTAGGTTTGTAACAGGCTCTGTAGCAATGAGGTGTTCCATAACACCACCTAGAGTCTGACTGGGTGGTATTACTGTACTATGCTGGACCACCACTCATGGACTCTCATGAGTAAAGCTTAAGGGAATCCTGTCTGTCCCTGCCTATAATTAGATTGAATATATTTGGGTCGGTTTGCTTTTAAACATTTAGGGAATTTGGTTCACCTATTGCACTATTTCCAGAGCACTGTTCCTCAGGACTCTCCAGTGTACATTACCCCTCAGATTCTACTAGTGGAGCTAGAGAGTACTTACCACACCTGGTTTCCAGTCACTAGGGTGGTGGACAAAGGCTTTTCCTCCAGAGTATTAGTGAAGTTCCTCCACCCTTGGAGAAGGGGGAAAAATTGTAAGCCCTCCTACCTGGCCAGATGTCGGAAGGAGAGGCACTAACCAATGCAGGAGCCTACATGTAATACCGGTTCAGATTGGACATTCGGCTATCCGGTTGGGTTGAGTATGGCCGTTGTTTTTTATCAATATTGGTTCAGTACATTGTTCATGGAAGAGGGTCCATTACAAGCATAGATCATATGATCAGGGAAAGGTCTGGGTAAAATCAGGGAATTTCATTCTGCTTAAGGTGTGGAGACCATGTACAATACTTCATTGTGTATTTGTAAATTTGATTAGGTTTAACTTTAATGTTGTAATGAGGACAAGTCTGAACAAAAAGGAGGAAAAGTATGGTATGCAGGTACTTTTCTACTTTCGTATCTCATGTAGGATTTCTCAAAATGTATTCAGGTATTTGCAGTTTTCACATAACATTGTCAATATTGTCATTAAATTAATTTCTTTCTAATGACATTTGTTTGTTGTCATTACCTTGGAGATAACACCTGGTCTACCCTGGGAGTATATTTGTGAAGTTGAACTTTGTGCAGGAAAGCTAACAGGAATGTGCTCAAAGGCTATAACCTTCCTTACATCTGAATGAGAATGAGCAGTCATATAGGTAGTGATAGTTGCTCTGGATAAGCCCTAAACTAAGTGACTTGAGATTTAATCTTTCTAGAACATCATTTTCAGTGAGTTGGTCATTTTGGAAATAAGTCTTTGGGAATATAGCCAGCCTGATTACTTCACAATTCCAGTAAAGGAGATTCTTTAGACATGCTGTTTCTTTATATTGTTATGACAGCGGAAGTCACGTGACGCTGGTAACACATAATGAGTTCTAGAAAGATCAGAGAACATCACGAATAATCCAGTATTTGCTAGGCACTGTCTATTCTTGTATATAAGTGCGGCAGATAAAGCGAAATAATTAATCGGAATTAGAATTGCAGACAGGCAGAGCAAGAGATGGACAATTGAGTCAAGCGCGGTATTAAAGTGCATGAATCGTGGTGAATTATAGCGTGTGTTTAAGTTAAAGTGACTGTGGAAATTAAGTGTATTGCAAAGTTGAATTGAGAAAGAATAAACTAGTTTTATTTAAGAAAGGACTTCTATTGCTGAAGTTTCTTGGAAAGAATTTCTACGGAAAATTAACAAACGACCAGAGACATAACAATATTGTATACCTAAAGATTGTCTCACTGTGTACTACACTTAGTATCTAGTCCATTTGTTTCTTTTCTTATACTCGAGTAGTTTTCATGGAACTAAGTATTACCTCGTGATGTATTTACCAAACTCCTCATTCTATATTGGAACTATGTAATTTACTCTTTCAAAACATTAATTTTAACTAAACTTGCCCCAGATATATATATTCTTAGCTGTTTCCATTTATATTTTATTAATAACATAGTAATGAAAAGTTACGACACATTCACTATGAGTATACTTGGTCTGCAATTACAACAACTTATAGATTATTATTACTTGAAGATAAATTCAGTTGGTGTTGATAATTTGTTAGATTTTTTGTAACAGAGCTGCATCTGATTTCTGTGTTAATGCCAGTGTGTTGGTCTTTTGTTTGATCCTAGTGGTTCAGCAGATTAAAGCAGATGTGACCAAACATCGAGTAATGGTTTTCAGAGGCCAAGGAATTGTTGAAGGCAAAAGGCATATTCAAATAAGTCAGTGGTTTGGAGAACTTGAATCAACTTTTTACAGGTGGATTACTTAATAAGGGATAGATTTTTTTTAAGATAGTCTAGTATATTGGCTCATTTTAATTAGAAAAATGTACATGTATGATACAAATGATAAAAATGAGTATATATTAAAATATTTTAGTAGAGATGTAAAATCTGAATTTGTCTGAACTATATGTGAAAATTAAGCATGTGTGAAATGTGTTGCTTTATTTTTGTACATTTTTAACTACATTTTCTTAAAATATTTTCTCTTAAGAATATTTTTCTTTCAAAATCTGGTTTCTGATATAAATTATGATGTATATTTAAAACTTTTATGAACCACCTATAAATTAATTAATTTTAAATTAAAGGATATTTCTGAATAATAAAAATAATAATTGTAAGTTGATGCTTAGTTTTAAATGGTGTATTTTTGTTGTAAGAAAACCAAAATGCATTTGTGGTAGTTTGAGTTGTTATAAAATGCCTTACAAGCAAGTGCTAGTGGGTTAACTATGTTAGATATACATGACTGTTCATTGTAAATTTAATACAAGAGTGTTATTTAGTTTATATTGTGTGAGCTTTAAAGTAGGACATTTTAGAAGCGATAGTTATGATAAGTTTGTTTACATAACTGTTTATTAATAATTTTTTGCTTATTTCAAAGGTTGTGAATTGACGTCATGTTACTTGAACCTTCTGAATTTTTCTTGTTGCTTTAAGTGAGTACTGTTACATCATAATGTCTCATAGTTTGTAGAACGTTGTAGGCCTCGTTCAGACAATATATATATATTGGCAATCAAGTTTGTGCAAATAAGTAAGTTATTGAAAGTGAAGTAAGACAAAGTTATATGGATAGATAGATAGGTCTAGACTGTTTGTTTGTAAGTTTAACCATAAGATAGTGTAGTGTCAATTTCTCAAGTGAAACTATTGCAGATTGCATTATAACAACATAGTAGAGAAGAATAATTTGTCTTATCAATTGTGTTCTAAAGTAATTGAACAAACCTGTGTGGACTTTTGATGAAAAAAGACAATTATTTGAAGTTCTACATACAGTAACCAACAGTGTAAGGTAAGTGAAATTATCACCCACTGTATTGTAACAACAGAGCAGAGGAGAATAAGTCGTCTTCTCAATTATGTTCTAAGATAACATGAAAAAGTGTTCAAAATTGGTAAAACACATGTCTATAACAAAAACTTTATTATTATTTGCAAGGTTTCAGGCAGAAGCCGTTTGTCAGGCAGTTTGAACCATGTTACATAGAAAAAAGGCTTAGACAGAATCGTTGAAGGGTTAGAATATGAAGAGATTCTAAATTACGTACATACTGCGTGGAGCACATTAACAAAAATATTCTTAGAAGGAAAATTGTTGAAGCAGTTCTCTAAACAGTTTTAAAATAGAATACAAATATTAGAGTGATAGAAATTGGACTTTAGAAATTGAAAAGACACAAAAGTAATAAACATAAAGTTTATCACAAGCTGACTGTCTCCACTCTAAGGACAAATGACATAGTGACAGAGTTCCTTTAGTTCTTACATACCACACTTTAATCAGACGGATTAGCAAAATTGTATAATGATATTAGACTTGTCATAATATATTATTTTGAAACTGTGTGCTGTTTGCTTATTGTTGAAATTTATAACCTACAAGTCACAGACACAAGAATCCTGCCCACGCATATGTATAAAAACATGACAAACTATTTATTCCAGTTGTTATAGCACTTGCCTGAAAGGTGACAGGTCATAAGCTCAAATTAAAGGTAAGAAAATATATCAAGAAAAAATAAATACCACTATTGCACATTTAATATTAAGTTGTTATTAAGGTTTACTTATAAAATACTAAAACAGTTGTAAATGTGGCTTACTACCAGTTCCAAAAGTTATACACACACACAGATTTTTTAAAAACATTTTACAAAAGAAAACGAACAATTATTGTAACCAGCATTCTGCCCTTGTGAGGTCATTAATTTGTGAAATCAAACTGTGTTATTGAGGAAGTACTTAATCATCTCTTAAGTTATTGTTGTGATGTGTGTTCTATCATTAGGTGGGTTCTTTTGGATTATTTTGTAAAAATAATATCAAATCTAGTTTAACTAATGATAACATATTAATTTATTTCTTCAGTATCATTTACTACAGGCTACATTCACTTGTTTGAAAGAAATTCTTAGAGTAACAGCAGCCCAACTCACTTTTAAACTTACTTGCAGAATTTCCTCACTTATGTCCCTTTGTTGATACAGTGGTAAGTTTGAGGGCTTACAGTGCTAAAAATTTGGTTTGGTACCCTTAGTGGGCACAGCACAGATAGTCCATTGTGTTGCATTGTGCATAGTAACAAACAAACATCCTTGCTAATGAATCAAGAACAAACATGCTAACTAACTCACTATTTAAATTACTAACTAAATCACAGGACTGAATATTTGAATAACTTGCTGATTGGTACTGAAATGATTTATTGGTTAACTCACTAACTGGCATTTATATCATTACTTATTTTCCAGTTACTACATCAAACTTCTAGATTCATAAACTTATAGATGATATCTAAATTAAAATATTAAAAATATGTCTTACAATATAGTCCCCTTTCCGGATTGTGAAGTCACTTCACCAAATCTTTTTTGATGGTTTTCTTTTCTGAGGGTTATGTTATGTAGATGAGATGGCTTCCTGTCTCTCTTATTGTTGCTTGCTGTCTTGTCATTAGTAGGTAGGTAGGTAGTTGAGCAAATCCACTGGTGTTTTTATCTTTGGTGGTCCTTTAGGAGTTGTTTCAAGAAGAACCATGGGCTCCTCAGCAGATTGACTTTCTGCTAGCAAATGTATCCCTGAAGTTACCCACGATTAAGTTTTTCATCACAATATATATATGGTCTTTCCCACCACCTACTTAACTTTTAAACTTGTTCGTTCTTACAGTAGGGATTGAACCGCCATACCATGTTATCTCAGTGGTAACAAGTCTTATCAGTATTGACATCATAACTAGCTGATTTAAGTCTTTCTCAAGTAAAGTCATATATTACATCAGTGGTGTTTCTTAGTTTCTCTACATATTCTTTGTAAGACTCTGCTGAGTGACTGTCCTATGTATGTGAGTACAGAAGTTCCAATGGCACTTTCCAAAACATAATGATTTTGTGTTACCTGTAGCTTTATGTACTGCTATTCTATAACTCATAAGTTGCAGTGTAAGATCTTATTGCACATTTTTTGATGGTCATTTATATAAATAACTAATTGATTTAAAAATGTATGATCATATATTTCCACCATGCCATCAAGAGATAGATAAAAGCTGCTGTCCTGGTCTGTTTGGTTTCAAGGATCTGACATATTTCTACAAGCAAGGTTGATTCAAAGCTCCATCCCTGATCTGTTTGACGTTCTACACCCCAAATATTGAAATTAATTCATTTACAAGTTTCCTTGCTAGCTTCTCTTTTCTGTTTAGAAACAGTATATGCTTCTGGCCATTTTGTGAAATAGTCCATTACAACTATGATATATTTATTCCTACTGGTACTGTGTGGCAGAAGGCCAAGCATGTCAAGAGTAACTCTCTCAAGTGGAGGTCCAACATAATATTGCTGTAACTGCTCGTGCTCTTTCTTTTATGATCTGACACTGAATGGACTGCTTCAGTGTCTAATTAGCCATTTATCATTACTTATTTTCTACTTATTACACAAAGCTTCTAGATTTTTAACTTTTGTAAAATTTCTAGATGGCATCATGACACATTTTTCTACCAAGAAACATCTGAATTAAAATTTTAAAGATTATTTTCACTTACATTATCAATATCAAATTTTAATTTTTAAACTTCCATCCCTTGTTTTATCAAATAAATTATTTCAAAAGTTAATGACTCTAATGAATAATTATTTCTGTCTGGGTACTGTTCTGCACTATGAGTATTAAAGTTTATCAGACTAGATTTTTGTTTTATACTGAATGTAAACCATTTGTTATGTAAATATAAATAAAAATACAAACTGCCTTTAGTTATGATATGTACACTTGGATTGCCATGCTTCAGGTTACACATTTAATATAGATGGGAACTCACTCAGTAGTGTGACTGAAGGAAAGGATCTTGGCATAGTGGTTAATAAGTTACTGAAGACATTAAAACAGTTATCTGTTGCTAGTATTAAAGTTAACAAAATTTCAAGGTGGATTTGTAGAAATATTGATTAACACTGTAAAGAGATAATTATTTTTCTACAAATCACTAGTTTTTTGCACAGAAGGTGTAATCAGAGTCCACATACATCTTGGATCTAGAGAATTTCATTTTTATTTACTAGTAATAATATTTTTATGCAAGTAACATAAAAATAGTCAAACTTTAAAACGATTTTTGTTTCAAATTTTGTATTTACCAGACATTCTAAGTCTCCTGATTTGGATATCTTCAGAGTCTCTAATGTCTCATCAGAGGGGTGTACAAATGTTGGTCGAACTGGATGGCATATTGATGGAAGTTTCATGAAAGCACCATTCAGTCACTCACTGTACCACATCATATCTGTTCCAAAGAAAGGGGACACGGGTATGCCTTTGTGTGAAAATTTAGCAATCAAGAAATATCTATGTGATGTCATATATTTGAAATAACATGATACTGACAATTCTTATTTTAATCTAGATTTTTTGCTCAGTGTAAACCATTTATTCTAGAAAACTTTTTTTTTTTATTGTATGCAAATTACAAACAAAGAATATGATGTTTTGCTCCTATGGGGTTCACAGAAAACCTGTTTCCTTTAAGAGGAACAAGATAGGTCCATTAGTTAAAAAGAGTAAATCTGTATTCTCTGAGTCTTACACTGTGTTTCCAGGGAACAAATACATTGAACAGAAACTTAGAAAAACACAATAATCAATCTTTATTAAAACACAAAAATGGTGTCTGTATCAGTGGTGTGCAGTGGATTTTCAAGTAGGCCATGTATTAATGTAATATACCCCCAAAATAACAACAAAAATGTACAGAGAAGGTTTATTCACCCTATTTGTAGGTGAAACCCAGCTGACACATTGTAGCAGAGTATATCACTAAAAATGAAAAAAATAATAAAAAAAAATGCAAAATCAAGCAAAGCATGCAATCTGTATGTTGCTGATGCTGAACTTCTGCACATGCACTAGCTGTCATGCTATTTTAATGCAAAATGATTTATGTGGTTTTACTAACAGATGGCAGTGACATCACTCCCAATAACAGAATACTGCTGGAAGTGCAAGGTTAGGCAGTTATGCATGCAGGTTTTGCATAACATGAAATGAGAATGCTACTGCAGTGCAAAAAACACAATAAACAAATGTACAAAATAAAAATAATAAAATTAATGATAATAATAAATATTCAAGACACATTTCACTGTATAATATTTTTGCCACATTTTAAGTTTTTTGATTGGTCCAGTAGTGCATGATTTATATACCCTGAGTGCATGCCACTGGTATGTATTTATTTCAGCACCAGAGACATTCACCTTTAATGCTCACTTAAGACTAGCCACCCTCAACATGGCTTCAATGTTTTTGGTTTTGGGATATGGCTGTCTTATCAGAGGTGAGCATACATATGATGTCTTCTATGTGCAGTAATGAGTCATCCCTGATGAGACACCTCAGGAGAGACTCCTAGTGTCTTGTGATCTACCTTGGTTCCTGCTTCAGCAAAGGTGGTGACATTGTTGGCAGTTGTGGCAGAGCAGTTTGTAGAATCAGATAAATCAGTATGGTGATAGCAATAATTGTCAATGGTTTCTACAAGTTGGTGGTCAATTAGACCAGTGAGGACTTGACATCCAACAGATGGTTGGTGATTGGCTGGAGCTTCCTGGCCATGAAAATGTTAAAGTTAACCCACTGACTGATTCAGTAAGATTCTTAATGTTAGATGTGTTAGCCAGCAACACTTTTACATTCATGGGGTTAAATATCAGGCTAATTCCAAGAGTCTTTAGGTCAGTAGGTAAGTCCAGTTTCTAACCAAAGAGGAGTTTCCCGATTGGTTAGCTGTACATTTATAGACTTAAAATACTAAAATCTGGAGTTTAATTGCTTTCTGGTGGAGAGAGAACAGATAGCCCATTGTGTATCTTTGTGCTAAATCAACAACAGTTTTAACCAACAGGAAGTCTTTAGTATATTGATTTTCATTAAAATTTTCTTCCATGATGCAATATGAAAAATTAAGCAGCTTAAGTAAATTAGAATAAAGAGCACAACTTGCTAGTTGAAGCAAGATAGCCAGAAGGGTCAAAAACTTAATCTTTAAATAGTAAAAGTCAGGATAGTTTAGAAGTTCAGCTAGAATTCCAGTTCCACTCTGGAAGAAGCAGGGGTTGAGATTGCAGATACTAGTTCCTACACATGAGCTGACCAAGGTTTGCCATTGTGCAGGTACCAACCTTTGACTTCTGACCATCAGAATTCATTAACACTTACATAACCATTCATTCAAGTTTAGTACTGTTCAGGTATGATTACAAAAATTCACTGTGTGGGTGTTACTTTCTACCTCTGGCATTATATTCATAATTTGCATTTTCATGAGTCTTTAACTGTACCTGATACTGAAAAAATGTGAAGAAAATTTTTCAATAAAACTGTGTGCTTATTAGATATTTCACAAAATGTAAAACATTGGATAATACTCCAAGTTCACATTTGATATGATATCTAAGCTGTTGTATTAATTTAATTTTCTATAAAAAATTTCACTCACTACCATCACCAAAAACACCACATCAAAGTGTGTTCTCTATGTAGTGTGAGGTACTTGTTACTCATCTCTTCCATAAAAATTTGCTAACTGCCAAACATCTCAATGCTGGAATTGAAATATTCTCTCAACAGCAGTAATGAAAATATCAGAAGTAATTTATCTTTAAATAATATTTTATATATCAGTGATTATAGCTTGCTTCATATTACAAAGTCTTAACATTTAGATCAAATCCTTTATTTCCATCCACATATTGTTTAATCCTCTCACTATGGGTAGGTTTAAATGTGCAAGTCACAACCTTTTACAGAGTTACATTCAAACTTAATTAAACTACTTTATTATCAATGTATATAAATAAACTTGGTATTAAAACAGTTAATAAAACAAATAGTCATATGATGTAAGTTTTATTTAACTTCTTAATTTTATAAGGAGATATTTATAATGTAGATATTACAAAGACAAAGTGTAGTTTTATGGACTTCAATCTTTGTTTACAGAAACATAACCAGAAACTCAGACCTACTTGTCATTGTATTACATAGTTTTCAGTACAGAGTATTGTCTATTTCATTTTCAGTTTGAAACTTTCTCTTGCAGCATTCAGATCAAGAAACTTTGGAATTATTTTAAGGCTCTTATGCCATAGTTAGTGAGCCAGTTCAATTATAATGTTTATTGGACATTATTTACTTTGTGCATGCTATTATTCTGTGTTTTTAGGTGCTTTATTTAATTAATTACAAATTATTTGGTGTACTAATGCCATCAGTATAAAAACTATAGGCAACCAGCAGCGAAAAAATGAGATCAATGATATTATATTTCTTGTTTTTCATGTATACTTTTTATTTATTGTTTTGAAAGTAACTATAATGTAAAAATTAGAAACTTATTAAGTTAGATTAGGCAAGATAACAAAAGTACTAATAATAATTTTCCACCAGATATACTCTTGAGCTACATCATTCTATGCATTAATTTGAGCCACATGTTTGCTGAGTGATTTATAACTTGTATGGCAGGATTATTAGTTAGACATGGTTCAATGGGCAAGAACACAATAAAAGTGAATAGAAGCAGATGTAAACTTTTAAATATATAGATTCCTGTTACAATTTGCAGTCATTCTAGAAAGAAAATAAGGGTAATTTAGGTTTATTTCATAGTTTTTTATGGTGGTTACAAAGTTAGTCAAATTGACATAGTTAGGGTAGAGAAAAATAACAAATGATATATATATATATATATATAACTAACAAAAAAAACGTTTGATACTTATTTAAGAGGTTTTAGAGGTTGTACAAATGAAATTTCAAATTTTTTTATACAAAAGTATTTTTAATCTTGATATTAAAAACACTTTACATTTGGTGCAGTCAACACTGTGACTCCATTTATTCATGAACAAATATTTTGTAAAAATACTTAACTAAAAATCAGATTTTTCATGTACAAAAGATTTGTAATGTTTACTGAAAGTTTACCAATTTTTATGAAAGTACATAAAACATATCAAAAGTTATAGTATAGAAACTCTGATTACTTTGTGGTTACAAGATCATCACATCAACCAACTCCACATGGAAATAGATAACAGTTGTATTCTTTGTTAAATTTAATCTACTTATGTTATACAACACTCACATATAACTATGTAATGTCCATGCACAAGTATAAGACTACACACTTGTATTTATTTGCACATTTATTGTGCTATATAAATATATCAACATTACACATTGTCATACACTCTTGTATCTTAAAACAGACTACCTCCAACTGGCACACAATCACTCACTAACTCTTTCTTTGTTGTTGCATTACTAAAAAGTAAAGTGCTGTCATCTATTAACCATCAAACACAACACTATATGGTAAAGTAAAACTGACTCAAAACCTGATAGATACAACACATGTGGCTTTTAAGGCATCACAAAATAAATAATCATATGCAGAATTCAGTCAGACAAAGATTTTTTGGATAAAACTTATCAGCCAGGATTAATAGCCATGCTGTTGCTACAGTATATGTATGGAGGAAACAACTTCCTTACTGTATGTAGAGAAGTATATGCTCTTCATATGTATGGGGAAGATTTAGCAATGACTGTTAGAGCTCATGCCATTCAGCCAAATGAGGTGAGCGATTCTTGCAAAACATCAAATTACATTTCACCACAAAAATTCACTCAGTGGCTAGGAAAGCTTTTGAGTTCCTAGCTTTCACCTTCAGTTGGTCTAAATATTAATGTACCTTCTGGCAACAGCCATCGTAAACTTAAGAATCAAGCAGATATTATTGAATATACACAGCATGGTAACAAGTAAATAGACACCACCTTTTCAGAAAAAAATGAAAATTTTCAGTCATATTCACTTGAAATGATATATTTATAATTTAATTAATATCTAATAGATCTTCCTTTCGCTTTGTGGAGTTCGTTGATCCTTTGGGGCATCGTGTGAATCATCTCGTCAATTTTAGATTGTGGGATTTTCGCCCACTCTTGCTTCAAAACTTGGAGTAGATCACTCTTCGAAGTTGGTTTTTTTTTTGGTTGTATTTTGACTTGCCGGTCGAGTA